GTTTAGAATTTATTAAAAAAATATAAGGATTTATAGAATAACTTACCTTCAATCTCACCTCCCATTCAAATTTCTTTTTATCTGACTCTAAACTATTTTCTCAACTCCTATCATTCCTCGGTAAAGGGATACAAAGTTTTATATGATCGAACATAATCTTTGTTAAACAATATGGAAATCATTATATATGAGAATAGAGAGAATAATCTCACAAAAATTATCCCATAATTATCAAGATCGGTCTATTTGAGAACATAGAGGTAATTTTGCTTTGGTAAAAATTTAATCAGTATCTACCTAAATGAAATGAAACCAAATTAGCGAGAGAGTTTTAAAAATAAAATACCGCTGGCCTTCTACATGCAATAATAAGGGCCACAGCAAAACAAACTTCGTTCAGTTTGGATGTTTTCATTAGTAAATTCACAACTCGGACACTACTGCAAACTTACTATTTCTTTAATTTACTTAGTGAAAAAAAGTGGAAATGGAAAAACATAAATGATGCCTATATGATTTTTTGTTGATTCTCTCGGATGAGGACATACGTTTTGATCAATCCACTCATCCAGCAACAAAAACACAACAAGAAGAAGAAGAAGCAGGGAAAGTATAGATAAAAGACCTAGCTACCACAAGCTACCACATAAAACATAAAAGATCAGAGAAGAGGAAGGTGGGAGCGACATAAAAGATCAGAGAAGGGGAAGGTGGGAGCGGAAGCAATGAAGCAGTACCTGCGGTGAAGTAGGGAGAAGACGGCGTCGGTGGTGACCGGTCGGCGTGGAAATCGTCTGCGGCGTGCCGAAGGCCTGCGGAGTAAGGAGATGGCGGGCGACGGTGGCGAGAGAGATTAGTGCGGCGGCGGGATCGGTAGCGGCGCCGGTGGGTGGGGGAGGGAAAGGAGCGGAAGGGAAGAAGCGGTGGCGGGGTTGAGGGGCCGGTGGTGGCGCGAGTCGTGTGTGTGGGAGGAGTACTGCTACACGTACTAAAATTTTCTTACAAAACTTTTACTAACAAATTTCTCAACCATTTGATTTAACTAGATGGAAGTTACAAGAAATCTAGATTTACTCACAGCTTGACACATCAGAGTTTGTAAACATTTTGTAAGAAAAATTTAGTACGTATAGACTTTTCCGTGTGGGAGGGAAAGGAGGGAGGAGGGCGAAGGTGGAGGATTGATCCGATGCGAGGTGGAGGCGTGGAGATTGGAGAGGGCGGCGGGGGTCTGGAGAGGAGGCCGGTGGGCATGGCTGGTGAGGAGGCGACGCGACGGCGGGGCGAGGAGGCGACGCAGGGAGGAGGGCGAAGGACGCGGCGTGGGGAAAGGAGTGGGCATGGGGAGGAGCGAGCGCGTGATGGGAGAGGAGCGATCGCGTGATGTGGAGGAGATTGACGCTATTGGATATGGCAATCGGATGGTTGAGATTATGCATGTCTGTAAGATGCGTCTGCTATGTCAGGAATCAAGACCACCACTACGGACTTTTTAAGTAGTAGAGATACATGGACCTAGTATTGTACTCCCGCTTCCTCCTAGCAGGCCAAATGATCCTATCACAGTCTGAAGTGATGTCAACAGCCCTCAACTTATTCTGAAGATCTTGCAGCTCCAACAAACTCCCCCCACACAAATGTCTTCTAAAAACTTTAGATCCCATTCCCCCCCCCCCCCCCGTCTCAGACCTGCCTAACAGTCTTCCCACACTGTAAACTGACCCCATACAGGCCTGGGTATTGCACTCTAACAGGAGTTTGCCCATACCACACATCCTCCCACAACAAAGTATGATTCGCATCCCCCACTTTTTTCTCCATAAACAGTTGCACCCATTTTTTACAGCATGAACAATATGAAAAGAGAGCTATCAAAACAGGTGCCTCATTGTCCTAGTAGAACAGGCACCCTGCAGACAAGTGCCAGGATAAAACGGTTTTTACACGGCAAAGCAACAGACGACATATTCACCAGTTAAACACGTTTCAGCATTTCTCTTCGTACGCATAAGAACTCTTCAAGCTTCTGTGCTTCATCAGGTGTTTCTTTGACCGCCATAATATTTCTTTCAAACTCCTCGCCCTATCTCTCTGCGAATTTACAAGTTGCAGGAAAATCAAATTTGTTTATTGTAGAATCTTCTGCCATCACCATAATATATGCATGGATCACCTCACAACATCACCACCAATTCACCATAACACATGGAAAAGTACAGGATCAACTTTATCATATAGAGAAGTATATGCTACTGTACACAATGTGCATACTACATACACTACATTCACTGCTACAATTTCTTGAAACTAACCAAGCTTAAGTTGTCTGTACATTTGAGTTTATTTTAGAAATTCATTACCAGTCCAATTCATTGTCTCTTATTTGTCCCTTAAGCTCATATTTATTCGTTGAATGATCGTAATATTTTCAGGTGCAAATGATTTAGAAAATGTAATACCTTGCTCTTTGCAGCAACTCCCAGTGCAATGGCCCTGTAGTCATGTTAAATGCACCGGGGTAGCATATCAAATGATCACCTGCAATGAACAGAAGAGCTTTTGTATATTTTTACACTTCCATCCATTTTCACATGAACAACAAACAACAGCAAGTTATTTCTTTTATGCATTCACACATGCCAATAGTAACTTGGAATCGGAAAATGTATGAAAGCACAACAGAACCAATTACATTTTACTAGTAGTTTTAGAAACCTGGATATGTATCCATTGTTGGAAATTTGGTCATAATTCGGCATATTTTAATCCAAAATAACAAGATAATAAACATGATATTTACAATAGAATTTGATCCAGTGATAGTGGTGAATGTAATCAACATGAGCATGCTTAACGTTGAATAAGCATCAACAATCACATAATGACACAATGTTGACATTGCGATGAACATTAACAGTAAAACTTCTAATTGAAATAATGTAATAAGGTTATACCCCAAGAATGGTCCTCCGCTGGAGTTTGAGGCAGTATTGCCTCCGTTGGTGTTGACGGGAGTCTCCTTCTCCTTGTCTCCAGTGTTCGACATGTTGGTGAAGATGAAGTAGATGTTGACGAACAGTGAGTAGTCGCGCCTTGCGCTCCCCAAAAACCTGATCGCCCGCCCGTCTGTGCAAACGTCGCAGCAACGCGTGGTTTCGGAGGCCTACTCTCCCAACGCGTGTGCACACACTCGTCGGGATGGGATTACCGTAGCAGCAACAGCTTTTGAAAATGGATGAAAGTGTGTCTACTTCTTCTCGCGGGAGATCAAATCCATTCTCATTTTATAAGAGGAATGGAAGATGAAGAGTAAGAGTCATGGAATAGGAAGAGGAATAGAGCAACTAATTGTCATCAACTAGCCATGAACCATCCTCCACTACACAACCATCAACCATCCATCAATTAGGACTAATTGATATAAGTTACCAATTCCTTAATCAAATGGATTAATTCTCAAAACTCTTCATCCCATTGATATCCCATAGAAGAATGAATTCACATGAATTCCTAGCATAATGAGCCTTGAAATTTATTTGATTTAATTGATTTAAATGGATTAATTACCCAATTAAATCTAACATCCATTACATGTACACGATAGTTCAGTACTTGACTAGTTGCCATGAATCTAATACAGTGAAATTTTATATCCGTCAGAAGCAAAATACAGCACCGAGGTAAAATTTTCAGAACGTGCTACATTCACTGCTACAATTTCTTGAAACTAACCAAGTTTAAAGTTATTAAACATGTAGCCAAATAGTCTCTGGTCAATTATCAGCTAGTTCATTCAAGAACTCACTGTAAAACTTGTCATATTATCAGCTTCAGAACTAGTACTATAACGTTTTTGAGATTTCTGAACAAACAACATTGCAACTTCAGATTTTATATCAAAACAAGCACCAATAAATTTTCAGATTGTCATACCTAAGATTTCAAAAAATCGGGATTACCTAAGATTTCATACCAATAAAAAATATCAGGATTACTATACACTATAATTGAAAAGTTAATAAAAATCTTAACATTGGGATCGCTATAGATAATAATTAAAAAGGTTAATAAAAATATTTTCTGTGTTTTCGGCCGAAAGCCTTCCTTCCTTTTCAGCCCTAGACTAGTCCGCTATTCCGTGTCCGCTACCTTCCTCCATTCGGTCTGCTTTTCTTTGACCCAGCCAAACATAAAAAGGGAAAAAAAATACCAGTGAAAAAAACCAAACGGACTTTTTTTTTACTGGGAGATTTTTTTTCCTTTTCTACAGGAGTCGGACAATTTTTTCAAGCGACGAGATGCTTTTTTTTTTACTAACGACGGAAGTTTTTTTTATCGCTCGTTAAGTTGGACTTTATTTCTTTCTTTTTTTAACATAAGACCAGAATTTATTGTTTTTAGTAGAGATATAGATTAAAACCGAAACATAAAATTAAAGCCGATTCAAACACGGATGACGTACTAAAATTCTGGTAAAAACATCTTCAATTTTTATAATAGTAGAGATATGGTTTAGTTAAGATGAAATTTACTGTAGAAATTCGCTTGGATAAATATATTTTTTTTAAGAAAATCATGAGCTACAATTAGAAGTCTTTTCTGTATTTCCAAAAGCAAACGAACTTAAAAACCGACACAAATACGGATATGTATTTTCAAAAACGAACGAAATTAAAAATCAACTCATACACGGATGATGTACCAAAGTACCAACAAAAACATCTTTAATTTTTATAATAGTAGAGATTGTAGGGTGTATAGTGTAAATTTTGGAACTTCACATAAATTAAAGAAACTATAAGAACTAAAAAAAATGTTAGGGGCTGAAATATAAACTCCTAGAGACACTTGCACCGTGAAGAATCCAAATTTTAGACCTCTAGCCCTATCCTATGTGACACCCCGAGGCTCCTCAACTCAACTAGTGTGACGTATTGTTAATGCCCTAAGACCAATCCAATTGGATGATTTCCATTGACGACCCCACCCGTCTTCTGGAACCATCCATCCGGTGCGAGGCACCACCCACCCACCCACGCAAAATTACCCCACGCGGACACGCGAAACCCCACCCCTTCCATCTGCCAAGATCCCGCGAAACCCGCCGCTCCCCGCGCCGCCGCCCGCCGGCCGGCAATCCCACCACAGCCCAGTCCCAGATTCCCAGCATCCCCGCGCCTCGATTCGAGCTCGGGACTCGCGAGGAGCCCGCGGGATTCGAGCACGATTGATTTCCCTTGGGGGAAGCCGGATGATGGTGGGGTTCATGGGGAAGAGGAAGGAGCTGGACCAGGTGGTGGACGGCCTCTCCGACTTCTCCCTCTCCGGCCCCGCCGCCAAGAGCCGCAGATTGGTGAGCTCCCGCCACCGCCATTTGCTCTCCTCGTCCCTACGGCTTCGTTTGGTCTGTGTAGCTGAGCAGCCGAGCTGTCTTCCCCCATGCTCTAGTACTGTTTCGATACGAGTGTTAGATTTCATAGCTTTGTGCTTGGCTCTAAGTCGGATATTTCTATTGTAGTTCATGCTTGGAGCCTGGAATCATATTTTTTTTTTTTTACTTTTATAGCTATGATTAGGCGTCCCACTGGTTACTAGTAGCAGTTTGATGCATGTTATGAGCTTGCTTGGTTTAATGTTAGTTGGAGTACTATTATGCGATATCTACCAGGTAGTTTGGTGCATTTTTAGGTTGTATTTCGGGATGCTTATGGATGCCCTGATTTTGCGCGGGTGCCGTGTTTGCAATGAGATTATTAAGAGAGGCTGAGAAAAAAATGGTAAATGCACTGAGAAAGTGTCATCTTGGGCTTACCATGACAACTGTTCCCATCCAAGAATCTACCGTGTTATTGCAGTATGTTTGTTTACCGGATTTCATTTTCTTGCTTGTCAGTACCTTGGAGTTGCTTGGTTACATCTGTGTGTCGCATGATGGAGTTTAGAAAACAACGGATTCCCAACGAAATAAAATAGCTGAGTGAAAGCATAGCTAATACTACTATGTATTTGAGTACCAGCTGTTTCCCTAAACTATCTTTCATGTAGTTGTTCAATGGATTATAATTTAGATACTCCCTCCAGTCAAAATATTTGACGTTCGGAGAACTAAACTTAGTTCTATAATTTTGATTGGAGGGAGCATTATATAGGCTTTATCAGCACCATAAATCCTCTCCAAATTTATCATTGTAGCATTATCCAATATGAGTTTGCTCAGCAGTAACAGTTATCACAGAGGGTTCCTAATTAATAATGAAATGACTCTATCTTTCTGTTCGTCAAAATCTGTATGGAACCACTAGCAAACCTTTCTTGTGGTTCACTGTACTTCAATGGATCATCTCTTCTTTTCTTTTTTTTTTATCATCTTGACATTGTTTTCTTTCATTGTTAATAAGATGTCCACCATTGGTGTGGGCGTGGCATGCATGATTTTGTTATGACATCACCATCCCCACTCAGTGTTCTAGTGGGAGATATTCTCAGTACTGAGCAATGTATTGCCATATTTCACCTTGGTTCTGATACCTCATTCAATGTTACCACTAACCAGTAGGAGTGTTATGCTTGAAGAAAACTAGGTTTCATTTGTAGTTGGCTAGTTGCTTCAGGATATAAATGCGCATTATATCGTTTCTAGCATTTGTTTGGTTTTCAATATTTTACTTTCCCTGTAAGTACATATTCAATAAATTTGCTGCACCGTCACATTTTGCTGAATAAATGTCGACTATTGTTTGTAGGATATTGGGCTTCCACCTATTATGGAAGAAGAGACGCCAGGTCCTTCCATGCCATTTGGACATGAGATGCTAGGAGAGGAAATCCACAGTGTTGTTAGCATGCCCATTATAGAAGACATGCTGGGAGGTGCCATGGAATCTCATCCATCAAGTGAGGACAAGGCACTTGTTTTATACAAGTCAGTAGATAACACTGCATGCATTGGTCCTGGGACCTCGAACCCTTCAATCATAATCAGTCCAGACTTGATACGTAGTCTAAAGAGTAAGTTACTTAACATTTTGTATTATTATAACTTACTCTTGTATTCTTCTGAATATTTGAATGTTTGCAATACTTTATTTTGTACTTTTACAGTATGTCGAGCGTGTGTCAAATGGGATAGATATATAGGAGAAGATGCTATTGCTACTTTAGGTGTTAGGCGTTTTAGTGTTTTACATACTACATCTGTGATGCATCCAAGGTTGATATTGAAATAAGTATACACAGAACTTATCTTGCAAAGATCTCACTGTTTAGTTTTGTGGCAACTGGCTAGTAGTAGAACAAATATTCAAGGCTATGTTGCTAGCATGCAAGTTTGTTAGCTGCACGCGTTGCTCCTGATTTTATATTTGCTTTTGTCTTAAAATGCCTCTGTACTTCTAGCACACTTATACTTGGTGACATTCTTTGTGTGAGTTCTGTTTTAAGTGATGAGCATTAGATGATTAACTTTAAGGAAGAAAGCCCGCTGAACTACTTTAGCATGTTTGTATGGCGCACCGGACTTTATGTGTATGTATTTTCTAGTGTTATACTCATGTCCTGTATGTCAGGATAGGATTATCATCCATACCTTGAAATTGCTCCTCACCATTTTCTTTCTCATCTTTCAGATCAGGCTTTTATGCAAAGGAACTTTCACGGGCTGGAGGACAAATCTCCTGGGTGCAGCAACTTCTTGGCTTTAGTTCCTTGGACACCACCACAAATTGCCACGGTATCTAATTGGTCTGCTTCAGATTCAGAAAAGAGAGAATTCTTCGAAGTGCCAATGGAGTCTGATGAGACAGAAGTCGATTCTATGGACGTTGAGGAATCTCCGGAAGCAAATGTCGCAGCAATCGATGGCGAAAGCCTTCACCAGTGGCAACAACACTGCATGACCCCATCGTCGCTACCAAACCCTTCAGCACCTGTTATGTGGTCAAGGTGACGGTCAGATGTCATTGTTGTGAATTGACTGCTGCTGTTTACTTACAGGAAGGATGAAGAAATCCTCCAGTTAGTTAGCATCCACGACTAGTACCTCAAATGGCTGCCATGTGGTGCATAGTGCTGATCATTAGATCAATTGGTAAAATGATTGTTATGTGCATAGTAGCTCCCTCTAGCATAGTGCTGATCTTGCCCATTCAGTGTTTCAGTGTACACCTAGAAATAGTCCTGATCTTGCCCATTATTAGTGTTTTAGTAGAGAGTGTACACTGTTGTTGTTACAAAAAACACAAGCCTGTATGTTGGCATCCAATTAATTTATCTAGCATTTTGGATTTACCACCTCAATGCTCTTCGCCTCTTCCGCATTTGTGATCTTCTTGATATGTTCCTTTTCTTATGTTGTATTGCACATATTTGTATCCTGTAGATTTCAAACAGAAATTTGAGAAATTTTACTCAAACTACGGCCTTGTTTAGTTTCAAAGTTTTTTTCTAAACTTCAAACTTTTTCGTCACATCAAAACTTTCTTACTCACATAAACTTCCAACTTTTCCGTCACATCGTTTCAATTTTAACCAAACTTTCAATTTTAGCGTGAACTAAACACAGCCAATCTGTTAGGATACCTTTGTCCAAACAAGGGGATATCTTTTAGGTTATCAGTACAAAATCGGACGCGCGAAAAGCTAGGGGTTTAACCGGTACGGCCAAAGGAAGAAACCGCCGCCCCCCGCCGCCGCTGCCGCTGCCGCCGTCGAGAAATTCATCGGTAGTTGTAGGATGAGCCGCCGGTTTCTGCATCTGCTGGTGAAGAAACCCACACCGTGGGGCAGCGAGGAGTTCGGGCTCCGCCGCATCGACATGTCGCGCTTCTTCCCGCCGAGAAAGCCAACCGGCGGGGGCGACGGATCAGCCGCCGCAGATCGCCCGCGCCTGGCGCCGGTGGCGGCAGCGATGGTGGACGCGCAGCTACCTCGCGCCGGCGAGGCCATCTATAGACCCCAGGGCCACGGCTGGGGCAGGTGCGGTGCGATGATCCTAGGTGGCGGCAAGGACAAGGTGGTCGGTGTGGACGGCGAGTACCGCAGCTTCCTGCTGATCCTGTTCAAGTGCGGCGCCCACGCCGTCCGCCTCCTCCCCCACATGCGCGCGACCAAGCGGTGCCCCATCGCCTTCACCGTCGGCGACGGCGTCTACGTCATGGAGGCGGCGGCGCCGGAGCCGGCGCGGATGCGCGGGGCGGAGCACTGCTTCGAGGCGCTCGTCCACGGCCTCCCGCCGGCGCCGCCGCGGGGTGGCGCCACCATCATCGAGGACTGGCACTGGCGCTCCCTCACGGCGCCGCCCTACGTTCTCGACCCCGACGGCGACGACGGGCCCGCCCGCGTCGCCGCCCACGCGGTGGTCCGCGACTCCCAAATCTGGGTGTCCACGGAGCGGCACGGGACGTTCACCTTCGACACGGCGAGCGGCGCGTGGTCCAAGGCCGGCGACTGGGCGCTCCCGTTCCGCGGCCGCGCCGAGCACGTCCCGGAGCACAGCCTCTGGTTCGGCTTCTCCCCTCACCACGACGGCCACCTCTGCGCCTCCGACCTCACCGCCACGCCCCCGTCGCTGCGCCACACATGGAGGTACCGCCCGCCGCACAAGGATTGGCCGGCCCCGGTGGCGTCCTACCTCGTCCAGCTCGGTGGCGGCAGGCTGTGCGTCGCCGAGCTGTTCGAGACGACGCGCGTCGAGGTGGGAGGACGACCACTCGATACCAACAAGAAGGCTTCATTGAAGACGACGACGCGGCGCTGGGGATTCAATGCCGCCGCCACCGCCGGCGAGGAGGAGGAGGAGGAGACGGAGGTGAGGGAGAGGTTCGCGGTGGTGACCGGAGTGGAGGTGGAGGCGTCGGCGAGCGGCAAGGCGCCGCTGCGCATGGCGAGGCGCGCCGTGAGGCGGTACGTGCTCTCCACCGAGACGGTCGTCACGCGCGAGGCCAGACGACGCAGCAGCTGGCGGCGCGGCCGGCCGAGGAAGGACGACGACGAGACGCTGCACTGGGTGTTCTGAGCTGAGCGACGTTGCAGACAGGTTTGCAGCAGCCGACGTTGTTGTTGTTGTGCGTTTGGACTTGCTGCTGGCTGCATTTGTGATCTTGCGATTGTGAGTTTGTGACCAACTGAACCATTGCTGATAATATATCCATGAGTAAATTTAAAAAACTGTAACTTTAGTGCCATAACTATCAGTTTGCTGCAACATGAACGACATGTTTCAATTTGCTGCAACAATAACATGGAAAATTATCACAAAACTGTAACTTTTATGTTATATATGCTGTTACAGTACATATAGGTAACAACTGTAGCAGCATATAACGTAAAAATTACAGTTTTGTGATAATTTCTCACGCTATTGTTGTAGTAAACTAAAACATGTCGCTAATGTTGGTTTTGTCATTAAAATTGCAGTTTTCTAAAATTGCATAGTTGATAACGGAATTGATTATTGCTCACTCCAGTTTAAAGTATGACGACAGATGCTAAAATATGCGTCCAAAAGTTAACGTCGTCGTTTATTAAAAAATTAGAGGTTAATAGAATTCATAGAGAGAAAAAAAAATCCCTTGATCGAAGTCAAAACTCAAAAGTGCCAAATTAAGCAGAGGGACAAGCGGTACACGATGCCATGTTCTGGTCATGGACGTCAAGGTCATGGCGTAGACGCAACCCCTTCGATGGGTTGAGTTGATGACTTGGACTGATGTTATATGTTCCGTCTTGGTCTCAAGATCCTTTCTTTTTGAGTTTTGGTGTCAAATTGAAGGATGTCATAACATGTTCATGGCTTCCTTGAGTTTGGTTTGAAAAATGCCAATTTTGTTATAGCCTTATGATCTTCAGTCATCTACATGCATGCTCATGCCATGCTAAATACCTCTACAACGTTAATTATCCTTATCCACATTTTATATTATGTTTAGTTATTAACCAAATACTCCCTCCATCCCAAAATTTTTGACGCCGTTGACTTTTTTAAACATGTTTAACCATTTGTCTTATTCAAAAACTTTTGTGAAATATGTAAAACTATATGTATACATAAAAGTATATTTAACAATAAATCAAATGATAGGAAAAAATAATAATTACTTAAATTTTTTGAATAAGACGAACGGTCAAACATATTTAAAATAGTTAACGGCGTCAAACATTTAGTAAAAGAGGGAGTAACTAAGCATGATACTTTTTGGCAAAATTTTACAGTTCTTGAGATGTAACTAAAGATACAAAATTATTAGTGTAACCGGAGGCATAGAAAATGTGTTACCTCCAGGAAACCGTTAAGAAGCACTATAAAATTAGCATTTTTTTGTTATAATATAATTTATTATCAAAAGAATGTTATCAAATTAACTAAAGGGTTAATTTATTAACACTATTAACACTTTACTTAATTATAAAAAAACCTTCCCTAAATGATAGAAAGCCTACAAAAGGTAGAAAGCATAAGAATTTTTCCAATCGTAGAATTTATTCTAGCCTCTACTTTAAAATCTAGTAGTATTAACCAATTAAGTAAAAGGTTATCCTATCCAATTAACCTTTACAGGTTAATTTTGTTTGATCAATTGCAGAGGAGGTTGGACTAGTTGGACAACGAATCGGATATAAATTCATAATCCAACAATTGGATAGGATATACGCGAATCGTCCTGGCTGCTACTGGAATTGGATAGGATAAAAACCTAACTCCCCCAGCTACTACTTGCTGTTGCTTCTTCCATCTGCTCTTTTGTTGCGCCCTGATTCTGCAGGCACCATGCGAATCGCGGCAATGACACCAAGAGATAGAGAGATTCGCGGGAATGGCAGCCACCACCACCATCCACCACCAACAAATCATCGCGCCAACAACAAAAAAAACCCAAAAAAAAAACAACAAAAGAAATTCAGGCGTGGCAGTTCGTTAATTCGGATAACACCAACCAACGAGTCCACGTCGTCTCGTCTCCCAATCAATCAATTGCTGATCGTCTGACTTATATAAGAGGGAGAGGAGAGGAGGAGTGTGGAGTGTGGAGTCTCTGATAATAAGTGTCGATTTTTGTTGTTCCGGGAGAAATTCCGGGAGATTTGGGGCGGCGGCGGCGATGAGGATTCGGGGAGACGGCGGAGGTGATGAGGAGGAGGCGGCGATGGCGGTGGTGTCGGCGCCGCCGCAGCATCTGGTCTTCGCGTACTACATCACCGGCCATGGCTTCGGCCACGCCACCCGCGCGCTCGAGGTCTCGTCTTCTCTTTTTTCTCGTTTTGGGGAGGATTGATTCGTGTTTGTCTCCGTGCGATGAAATTTTGGTTTCTGCGCGGAATTTTGGTTTCGTGGCTGGATGGATGGATTCGCTGCTGTTTGAGTTTTTTTTTAATTTTTATTTGGGGTGATGGAATTTTGGTTTGTGGTTAGTGCAGGTGGTGAGGCACCTGATCGCGGCGGGGCACGACGTGCACGTGGTCACCGGCGCGCCGGAGTTCGTCTTCACCACCGAGATCAGCTCGCCCAACCTCCACATCCGCAAGGTGCTCCTCGACTGCGGCGCCGTCCAGGCCGACGCCCTCACCGTCGATCGCCTCGCCTCCCTCGAGAAGGTTCCAGAAACATACTCCAATATCTCCACTCTACTACCTGCTACTGCTACAACATCCACCACTCTTGCTCTTGCTGTGCTGTGCTTTGCCTGTGGATTTGTGGCTGATTGAGTGATTGTGTGGTGCGGAATGCAGTATCATCAGACGGCCGTGATGCCACGCGAATCGATTCTGAGGACTGAGGTGGAATGGCTCAACACGATCAAGGCCGACCTAGTGGTAATGCTCCTGAGGATGCTAACACCAACTACTTGCTCGATTTTTTTAATCTGTTTTTATCCGGGGTCTCCATGAATCTTTACAGCATCTGAAGCAAATGTGGTGTTGTTGGTCTTTGGTCAGGTTTCAGATGTCGTCCCCGTCGCGTGCAGGGCGGCTGCGGATGCTGGCATTCGATCGGTGTGCGTCACCAATTTCAGGTTAGTGTTTCTGTGGTTGCTTCATGCTAGGGGTCAAAAGGAGCAATGAGGATGTAGAGTGAGCTTTAGAATTATTAGTTACAGCCTTTGTGGGTTCCCATATTATTCCAAGTTTATGTTAACATTTTGCTTGGGGTTATATGTTTCATCAGTGCATAGTTGCTACAGTTACCTGACTTTTATATGTTTTGCCTGCTAACATTCATTTCCTGATGTAATCAGTACTAACGCTGAACACAAAAGTTATCTACTAACCCACAAGAAATCTGCAGCTCTGAGTGATGCTAACAATAAATTTTAGTTATGGCTTTACCCGAAATTGACTAGTTGTAAACATAATTTTTTCTCTCCATTTATTTTTATAATTCGGGCTATTGAAGAAATTTACATGGATAGTTTTATTTGCAGTTTTTCTTGCTTCTTTTTTGAGTAGTTATTTTTGAATCAAAGCACGGTCTTTAATTTTCACCTTCTATTTGCAGCTGGGACTTCATTTATGCAGAGTATGTCGTAGTAGCTGGACATCATCATCGCTCAATTGTGTGGCAGGTGCCTGTCATTTCATTTCCCAAAAATGGTGCAAAATTGTCTAATTGGTTTGCTAATGCTAACTACTAAATTCCTAAAGCCACCTAGACACCGGATTCAAATTTCTTGATTTTTTTTTGAGAAAACTGTTCTCTGTAATATCGTTCTTTAGTTGCAAGTTGAGACTAATTCAGCCCGTTCAATAACCATGCATTTATGTTGGCATCAACTGCAGATAGCAGAAGATTATTCACATTGTGAATTCTTACTACGACTCCCTGGATACTGCCCTAGTACGTCTATATGTCTGAATGAATAATATATCCAAAGATCCTGCATGTTGGTTTGAAGTACTCGTGATTAATTCTATCTTCTGCAGTGCCTGCTTTCCGTGATGTCATTGATGTTCCTCTTGTGGTGAGAAGATTGCATAAATCTAGATCTGAGGTGCGTACAACTCTGCTGGACAATGTTTGCTCTGAACACTCAACCCATGTTCTCAGTTCTTGATGACTTAAAAAATCTCCATATATCAGGTGAGGAAGGAATTAGGAATTAAAGATGATGTTAAGGTGGTCATTTTCAACTTTGGAGGACAGGTAAACCATTAAATAGCCTGAATGTTCTTTCTCGTTTATAGATGCTCGATTTTGTTCAATTAATGGATGTTAGTTGCATATTTCTGTTAAATCATTTTTTTTTGAAAGGGCTATATTTATGTTAAATCAATATGTCCTTTTAGACCAGCTAAGGTTTCTGTCTTTCTGCTGTTATTGGTAGTCAGTACAATCCATAGTTGAATTTGCTACCATCTTATGCAAGTATTGCTGATGCAATGCCATTGTGATGGTTTCCTCTTCAGCCTGCAGGATGGAAACTGAAGAAAGAATGGCTGCCTGATGGTTGGCTCTGTTTGGTATATTTTCTTTGAAACTACGTGTTTTCTTCTCTCTTCTTTCTCTCTCTCTTAATAATGTCTGGACAACATTTGTGACCAAATTCTATTTTCATAAAGGTATGTGGTGCATCTGAAACTCAAGAGCTTCCACCAAATTTCATTAAACTTGCAAAGGACGCCTATACACCTGATTTGATGGCAGCATCTGACTGCATGCTTGGTAAATACAGTGCTATATTATCTGTGTTAGGGCTATTTACCGCCTTATTTCTTTTCTAGAAATGTAACAATTCTGTTGGTTGTTGCATAGGGAAAATTGGATATGGCACTGTGAGTGAGGCTTTGGCTTACAAGCTGCCATTTGTATTTGTTCGTAGAGATTATTTCAATGAAGAGCCGTTTTTGAGGAATATGCTTGAGGTTGAAACATCTCGAAGTATAGTTTCATTTTAAGAATTCGTACTTATAGAGCATCAGTCATGAACCTTGATGTCCTGTTCTATATCCTCTTTTCTTCCTAATAAACAGCATTATCAATGTGGCGTTGAGATGGTACGGAGGGATTTACTTACTGGACACTGGAAACCTTATCTGCAACGTGCTATGACACTTCATCCATGCTATGATGGTCCAATAAATGGTGGTGAGGTAATGTCCTTACAGTTCTCAGATATGGGTCTGTGAGGGTTGTTTGGGAACTCAAGCTAGTAACCATCTTGTAAATTTTATTTTTTT